AGGAGGATTGGATGTATAAAAGCTGTGGCTGTTCCAGTTGCATCGCCTTCAGCTGACAGTGCAGAAGACCGGGCAAAATTAGCAGAGAGCTATGGATTCAGAAAAATTGGAGAAGACCTTCCTGATAATGTCACCTTGAAGGATATCATGGATACCCTTCCTAAGGAGGTATTGCTTTTTTTTTTCAGTAAACCTTGTGTGTATTTTCCATGAGAACTTCTTCTTCTTACTTGTTCTTTCGTATACAATTCCCTTCAGGTGTTTGAGATTGATGATATGAAAGCTTGGAAGTCTGTGTTGATATCTGTGACTTCCTACACTTTGGGGCTTTTCATGATTGCAAAATCGCCGTGGTTTCTGCTGCCATTGGCTTGGGCATGGACAGGAACTGCAATTACCGGGGTAAGCTCTCCTCCACTGTCTCTCTTCTCTGTCTCGGCTTGTTACTGTTCTCTAACTGGGTTTACCTTTCTTAGTTCTTTGTGATAGGTCATGATTGTGCACATAAATCATTTTCAAAGAACAAATTAGTGGAAGACATTGTGGGTACTCTAGCCTTCTTACCACTTGTCTACCCGTATGAGCCATGGCGGTTTAAGCACGACCGTCATCACGCCAAAACAAATATGTAAGTTTTACTCAGGCTGTTGGAGATAGTAACAATAGACAAGAGATATGAATTCATGTTTCCGCTTTGCTTTCTTTAGGTTAGTTCATGACACAGCTTGGCAGCCAGTTCCACCAGAGGAGTTCGATTCATCATCACCTGCCATGCGTCAGGCAATCATTTTTGGATTTGGCCCACTCAGACCTTGGTTGTCCATAGCTCACTGGTATATATAAATTAACTCTTACAACGTGATAAATTTGTTCCATGTATTTTTTCTCTCTATATACCTGTTTACTCAACTACAATTTTTCGATTTTATAGGGTGAACTGGCACTTCAATCTGAAAAAGTTCAGAGCGAGCGAGGTGAATAGGGTGAAGATAAGTTTGGCTTGTGTTTTCGCCTTCATGGCCGTTGGGTGGCCACTGATCATATACAAAGTTGGCATATTGGGATGGATAAAATTCTGGTTGATGCCGTGGTTGGGCTATCACTTCTGGGTAAGTACTTCTCTCTTATGCTTTTCTCTATTCCCTCTTTTTTGCAATATATTATCAGAAGCCAAGATGGTTACACATTATTGTTTCTCTATAGATGAGCACATTCACAATGGTTCATCATACTGCTCCACACATTCCTTTCAAGCCTGTGGATGAATGGAACGCGGCTCAGGCCCAGCTGAATGGAACTGTTCATTGTGATTACCCTAGTTGGTAATGGATCCCACCTGCTCAGATGGTTAAGTTGTCTGAGAGCTCTTGTTTGGTTTGATATGAACTAATGTTATTGTGTTGTGACAGGATTGAAATTCTCTGCCATGATATTAACGTTCACATCCCCCATCACATTAGCCCAAGAATACCGAGCTACAATCTTCGTGCAGCTCATAAGTCTATACAAGAGAACTGGGGAAAGGTAATAACCACTTTCTTATCCCGTAAAAATTTGTTGTGAACACTGTAATTTGATCCTTAACAGAAAAAGTTTTCCTTTTGGGAAGTTAGTAAGACACTAAAAGATTCATGAGGTTTTTCTTGCGTGGTGGGGTTGCAGTATACAAACTTGGCTACATGGAACTGGCGCTTGATGAAGACAATAATGACTGTGTGTCATGTCTTTGACAAAGAGGAGAATTACATTCCTTTTGACCGGTTAGCCCCTGAAGAAACCGAGCCAATAACCGTCCTCAAGAAAATAATGCCTAACTACACAGCCTGATTCGCCTTGGACTCGAACTTGTCTTTTGAAATCTCAATATCTTTTTGCAGTCACCAATGTTATATGTAAGCTTTTCAAGTGATAAGCTTCTCTAGCACTTCACCAACGCTCTATACTGTTATCTTCTTTCCAATCTTATCAGAAGAGAGAAGAGAAATTGTTCAAATGATCTCAGCAATTGCAATTCTCTTATCCGTTTTTCTTTATCTTAGGTATAGGAATGGAGATTGAACAGTTTGTATAAATTGCAATGTACTGAAATTCGATGCAAAACTTAGAACATGAGAATCTTTGAAAAAGTTGAACATTATCTACTTGCTATGGTAGCACATACTGTTGTGCCAGTAATACTTCGGGAAAATAATGGGATAAAGCCAAAGCAAAAGCGAGGAGAGAAAAGAAAGCTAAAGCTAAACTCCTGGGACATCTTTACGGAAAGTTGAAAGACAGAATCATATACTGTCCAACAAAAGACACTCAGATTTTCAAACGGAGGGAGCGAATCCCTAAACCCTAGAAATCTGAGACTGTGGCCACAGTTTACACCACCATGAAAGCAGCTAAAAGCTAAAGGTCAAAAGAGGATTAATTTCTTACATTGAGAAAAGAGTTACGTAAAACAGAACACAACCTGAAACTGAAAACTGCAAATCGTATCAGTATTAATTCTAACAAAACTATGATCATGTTCTTCTATATGTTTATATTCGCTTGACTATTGCTATTTCCTCTATTCTCTCATCCTGTAGTTTTCTAAGAATCCTAAAACATAAACAAAAGAAGCAAACCAAATGAAGCAGAAACAGACCAAAGATGCCAAAATATGAAATCAGATGACCGGAGGGGGAAGAGTCTCCCACACATCAAACACATTCTCCTCACTGTGCAACGCAAACAACCGATCCCCACCAATGGAGAAATCACAGATGGAGCCACCATAGCTTCTTTTTAACCTGGAAGTCAAAACCCAGTCTGATCCACAGAAGACAGAGATTGAATCATTCATGGACGAGAAGAGCTGACCCTCGTGTAAAGCGAGTTTAGGGTAACACGGCTCGTCAGGCATCTTGCTTTTCATCAACCTGCTCCTAGAACTCCACCTCACACTACTCCCTCCTCCATCCATCCTAAGATCAATAAACCCTAAATCCTCAAACTCATTCACCACACATATCGAATTGCTCTCTTCCATAGCTATCGCGTCTCTCACTCTCTTCTCATCCGCTGTCGCAGGAGACCCGATATCAGACCAAGACCAGACCATATTCTTGTCCCGGAAATCCAACAAGCTAATGTAACAATTATCTTTCCTTGGAAACAAAGTTGCCACAAGAAGGCAGTTCTTACCATTCAACCATTGGAGCTTATCAGCATCTCCTAAAGACCAGCCAGGACTCTCGTAAAAGAAATCTACTTGCTTTCCAGTAATTTGATCCCACACTCCAATTCCATACTCATTACTCCGTCCTTTGCAGCTCGTAAAGATCTTAGAATCAGGACTAAAACTCAAAGCTCCAGCACTATAACTCTTAACCTGATTATCATGACTCACCTGAAACTTATACCTCAGCTCTCCAGAGGATGAGCTAAACAGTCCCATTCCTCCATCTCCTCTTCCCAATCTCTCACAAGCAGAGAGTACAATGTTACCAGAATTAATCCAACCCACATCGTTCACTCTCTGGTAATCAAGATTAATCGTGGGATGCTCCTCCAGCATCCAATCAAACACATGGACGACGCTACCATGAGCTACGCAGCATCCTCCGTCTGGACCAGCTCGAATCGCCGTGCCGTCTCCCGGAGCTATGCCTGTGACGGAACGAGAGAGACGGAGTCTGTTTCCATCGAAAGGTCCCCACTTTGCGGTTCGCAAGTGGTCAATTAAGCCGTAGAACATTGCTTCTTTGTGAAGGAGACGCTCCGGGATATTGGGTGGGATGTTTAAGTCTCCCGTTCGGAGAAGGTCGAGAAGAACGGCGAAGCAATCTGGGTTCCGATCGATGAAAAGATCCTCTTCTTCCTCATCACCGGGCTGTGAAAGATTCCAATTTTCGTCAAATAATGCTCCGAAGAAAGAACCGCGACCAGCGTTGGCGAGCGTCGTTGACGTCGTTTCGAAGATTCTGCCACCAACGTTGAATCTGATCCTGTCCTTTGATAAACCCATTAATGAGGAGACAGTAGTGATTTTAAATCCCGGGAAAGGTAGAGTGAATTAGGAAGAAGCCATGACATGAACTTCAAACTTGGTTGGATTGAGATGTTTCAAAATGCGATCTGATTCAAAGAAATTGAATTCTGGGAAAGGATAAGAAGATGAAAATCTGATTACAGTATATGATTGATCAATTTAAATTCGATATAAAAAATAAAAAAAATAAAAGAGAATCCCAGAAGAAAATAAAAACGATCTATCCTTCTCGGACATTTTTTTTTCTCCGTTGGTCGAGGTGCATTTAAAACATAACTGGAACAACATGGTGGGACTCTTACTGTGGAAGTTGCTCAGATCACAACCGTCCGATGCTTTTAGATATTGTGGACTATCCAACCGTCGATATATTCGTGTGATTTTTTTGGAGGTAAATATTTCCGTGAGCCAAGCCCATCTATATTATCGGCCCATAAATTGATCCATGTTTTGCTTTTATAAGCTGGAACGAGAGAAATACTTGAATACAAACCTTTCCTACTGAATGATTCTTTTAAGGGATCTGATCACATGATATTTTTCCCACATTCAGTACACTCTTTGGAAGAAGGCGAAACAAACTCACACTTTTCTTACATACTTTTACAGTTGTTTCCTTTATAACAGTACTTGATCCGTACAAATTTTCATTCTTTTAGTGGCCAGTCACTGATTACTAGACGAACCAACATTATGTACACACACACAAACAGAACATTTGATAATCTTAAAAGCTAAAACATTGAAGGAACAAAACTACATTTAGAATCTTAAAAACCCTACTACTAGTCTTTTATCCCTTAATACGAATTTAGATACTAAAACATACGCAATTTACATAGATAGAAAATCCAAATTTTGACCGCGAATAACTTAAAACGGAATGCGTCAATGACGCAGGGGTGATTAACGGAGGAATAAACGGAGTTGGTTAAACAAACAAAAGATACTATCTCCAGTCAAACAAAGACTGAAAGACATTAACGCCCCCTTCTCTCTCTTTCTTCTTTTGCTTTATAGAGTTTATAGAGAGAGAACAGAGAAAGGGGAGACAAAACGCAGCGTTTGCTTTCAGAGATCAGTCGGTCGGAAAGCGGCTTCCTTTTCTATTTTTTTTTTGGTTGCCTAGAGAATTTGTTCGTTTCTTTTTTACTTCTCTCCGACAAAAACCCACGAGGAGAAAGAGAGAAACAAAGACAATAGAATCCGTCCGTCTATGGAAGACTCTGTTATCGACGAAACTGAGGTTTACGCGGTGGAGAAGAGCACACCCGAGACAGAGAAGAGTGAGAAACTGGAGCCGGAGAAGGAACTTCATAACGGACTGAGTCAACTCAGAGACGATGAATCACTTGGGACTATCGGTGAGGATATGGAAGATTTACATCATGAGGCTGTACGAGAAACCCTAGACAAGGATCAGGTTGAAGGTGACGGTTTGTTTTTGCGAAAATTCTCTGTTCCTTTTTCTTTTCTTTTTTTTCATTCGGAGGGATTTAATTTTGACGAAATGATGTTTGTGTTTACCAGGTGTTCGTGAAAATTCTTCTGTGGAACCTAATGGTGAAGATTTAGTAGTAGTTAAGGTGAGTTTGCTCGAGACTCTTCTTCTTTTCACTTTACTGTAAAATTTCATCCTTTTCTCTTGCTGATCTTTTTAACGTTTAGAACTTAGATTATCTCATCGACATCGATTGTGCTGGAAGTCATATAACTTGATTATTATATCACAGCTTCACTTCAGTGTGTGCTCGTTTCTACTCGTTTAGTGATTTTATAATTTACATAGAAAGAGGAGTAAGTAATCATCATGGTTTCACCTTTGGCCAAGATCAATCTATATACAATTACATGCGTAGTGGAAAGTAATTGTATCAGTTTGATCCGTTACACTCAATTGTGTCTGATTTGTTAGGTGATTTTGAGCACAGGAATTACTTTTGTCAAGGCATGACATTTGACTACTATTTGTATCTCCTTTGCAGGAGACGGATTGCGCCAAGGAAACCGTAGTAAGTACGATTGTGCCGGTTGAGGAAGTAGAAGAAAACCTTGAGGTAGAAATATCTCCTTGTCTGACTGCATCTTCAGATTCGATTACGGTGAAGCCTTCTCTATCTTCGGATCCAACAACAGCTTCAGCTGCACAAGGTTTATCACTGGTTTCAGTTCCAGCTAAACAGGAGCAAAGATCTGATTCTCTGGTGGTTAACAGATTATCAGTTTCTCCTGTTCCGAGGACACCGGCTCGTGATGGTTACAATTGGAGAAAATATGGACAGAAGCAGGTTAAGAGTCCCAAGGGCTCACGGAGCTACTACAGGTGTACGTATTCTGAATGTTTTGCTAAAAAAATTGAATGCTCCAATGATTCAGGCAAAGTGGTAGAGATTGTTAACAAAGGTTTGCATAGTCATGAACCTCCCAGGAAGAATAGCTTTTCCTCGAGAGAAATTAGAGCTGCATCAGCAATACGACCTGTTTCAAAGGATAATACAGTAGTAGAAGAGCTAACAATAGTACCTAGTGGTTCAGATCCGGCTGCTTCTGCTAAAGAGAACATCTGTGAGTCGCAACCATTCATTGAACGGAAGAGACATTGTGAGAACGAAGCGGTGGACGAACCAGAGCCAAAACGAAGGCAAGTTCGTATAATTTATGGATTTCCGTGCTTACTCTTCACTTTGAAACACGAAACTAATAGACTCCATTCTCTTTATTTTTGTGTGTGATTCAGACTGAAAAAAGAAAACTCACAAAGTTCAGATTCTGTCTCCAAACCTGGCAAGAAAAATAAATTCGTAGTACATGCAGCTGGTGATGTTGGGATCTGTGGTGATGGATACAGATGGCGTAAATATGGGCAGAAAATGGTGAAAGGAAATCCTCATCCAAGGTCCAAAAGCTAATTGCATTCATTACCCATTTCTTTGTTCAAAAAATGAGTTTTTTTTTTCATTCTTCCAATGCTCGTGATGATTGATGTGGGTTATGCTCCAAACATTCAGGAACTACTACCGATGTACTTCTGCGGGATGTCCTGTTCGTAAACACATTGAGACAGCAGTAGAGAACAAGACAGCTGTAATAATCACATACAAAGGAGTACACAACCACGACATGCCGGTGCCTAAGAAACGCCATGGCCCTCCTAGCTCAATGCTTGTTGCTGCAGCCGCTCCAACATCAATGAGAACCAGGACAGACGATCAGGTAAACATTCCCACTTCAAGCCAGCGCAAAAGCGAGAAGCAGAGCAATGAAGCAGTAGATGTTGGTGGCGAGAAAGTGATGGAATCAGCTCGGACTTTGTTAAGCATTGGATTCGAAATCAAGCAATGCTGATTATATGTAATTTTATGAGTTTAGAGAGTTCATAGACTCAATTTTTCGCCTACTTGTTCTTGTTATATAAAAATAAACACACCATGACGATAACCATAAGTATTAGTAGTGGTTTGGTTGAAATAATGTTCAATTATCAAGTAAAATACGTTGACATGTCTCTCTGTGTAATTTTGATAATTAAGCGCTAATTTTAGTGGATATGACTCTGATTCGTCTAGAGGGTCTTCTGAAACTTCAGAAGGGAATAAAAAAAGTCGAAAACAAAAACCCTTAACTCTCACTCTGTGTAAACCCTAGTCTGTTCGTGCTCTCCGATGGCGAGCCTTCGATGCTTTCGTGAGCTGAGCCGCCGCGCTACGACTGTTTTCTCCATCAATCAGACGCGATCGATCTCTTCATTTCATGGGATCAAGCTCTCCGGGACCAGCATTTCTCATGGGACCGTAATTTCGAATCGATCACTTACTAGGGATTTGCCATGGTACAGGCTCTGGTATCGCTCCCAAGGTCGTTGTTTCTCTTCGAACTCGAAAGATACTGATGAAGGTGAAGAAAGCAGTGAAGGGGAGGATGATGATGATGATGATGATGATGAGGAGGAGGACTTTGAAGATTCGGCGGAGATGGAAGTAGAAAGGGAATATTCACCAGCTGAGAAGGTGGAAGAGGCGGCTGAGATAGGTTACAAGGTGATGGGTCCTCTCAAACTTTCGGAGAGACTCTTCAAACCATATGAACCAGTGTTTGCCATTGTTCAGGTTTCGCCTCTGCTATCTCAACACCTCGTTTAGTTTCATTTCACACTCTCACTGATGTTGTATGTTTATTGTTTTACTGTAGATTGGTTCGCATCAGTTTAAAGTAAGCAACGGGGATTCCATTTTCACTGAGAAATTAAAATTTTGTGACATAAATGATAAGGTATGCTAGCTTCGGTTCTTCTTCATGACCTCTTTGCAATTCTTCTCTCTAAAGTGCAAGACCCTACTCTTATCTCTCATAAGAAAGGAGAGCATTTTGCATTTGTTTCCTAGGATTTACAATTGTTTCCTAGGATTTACAATTGTTTCTAAAGCTCATCTCTTTATGTCCCTTTGCAGTTGGAACTGACCAAGGTTCTTCTATTGGGCTCGGCAAGTCAGACGATTATTGGTAGGCCTATCTTGCCAGATGCGACTGTTCATGCTGTAGTTGAAGAACATGTAAGTGTCTCATTCACTTGCCTGGTGTTTTGTAATACTAGCGAGGCTGTGCTTAAGACAAATTAGCAATTGAAAAGAGTTTGCTTGCTGAACCTGGTGACTGAGAGAAACTAAATCAAACCATCTGCTGATTAGAGTATGGACAACAAGTTATTAGATTAGTTTTTATCTATCTCCACATCATCTGAATGTCTTGATTTAAATGGGCGTAGAATGTAGAAGGATCGACTCATGGTTTTTTTGTACTTAATCTAGTTTTTCCTTAATGAGTGACACAGGCATTGGATGAAAAAGTGCTCATTTTTAAGAAGAAACGAAGAAAGAATTATAGGAGAACGAAAGGACATCGACAGGTATACTTTATGACGTTCTTGTTTAGACAGTGTGTTTGTTTCATCTTTGCCTTCTTCTAGTTGTTTCCTCTGTGGTATGATTGTTGTTTTTGACCATTTAACACTTTTGTCCAGGAATTGACGAAGTTGAGAATAACCGATATACAAGGAATTGAAAAACCAGAACCAAAGATTGTCCATAAGCCTTCCAAGGAAGCAGTGACAGAACAATCGAAGGCTGAGCTAGTTGCTTAGAGATAAATTTTGCTTCTGTTTTTTTGTTGCTAATGCCGATACATTTGAAGTAAGTTTTCCTATCACTTGCTGTTCGCTAAGAAGTAGATTTTGAAGTCGCTGAAAGTATGAAAAGGCCTTCTTGGTAATTAACTAGTCTCCTGAGATATGAAATGTGATTGCCTGTCACTATCTTGTTTCTCACTTTCTCTGTTTGATTTTGCTCTTCATTTGTATTTAAACTGGCTCAGGCTTTTGGGGGCAGTTTGTTGCTTCTTTTTAAGAAATAAAGATTTGCGGAAACATCTTTGATCTATCCTTCACTCCTTGCCTTCTCTATGCTTTGTAGTTTGTAGTATATACAGTGGTATAATTATGTTTTTCTTTTATGTTTTCACGGGCATCTCGCTTTTAAAGGTTCAAACTGGGTGGTGAATTAGTAATAACTGTAAGTCACATTACATTCAAAATTCTCGATTTGTTCCACTGTGACTCTAATTGCAACTATGACGAGACAACCACCTGCTCATCCCATACATGATTTAAAGAATTGACAATGCTTGGAACAGTTAATAAATTTCTTTTATCAATAGTATAAAAACTACTGTATTTTGTTGTATAAAGAACACGCACACATTCAAGCATAAAAAGAAATATAACAGTTGCAAATGAAGTATTTTGTACATAATCAATTGTCTATAACTTTTTCTACAAAAATTTTGTTACACTTGAATACATTTTACCGCTAAACAAGTAGGCAAGTCGATGGTTCGGAGTTGGATACGGACTCGGAGTCGGGTCGGGGCGGATAGGAGCAAATAGTGAGTCAAGTAAAAAGAATAGAACAATTCTTGGGTTCACCCCTATCTCATTCACCCCCTCTAAGCTAACCAATCAAAATTAGCCATGTCATCTAATTAAATGAATTAAAATAATTTATCTTATTAATTACAAACTTTAAATTTTAACCACTATATTATTAACCTAAAATTAAATATAATTTAGTTTATTTATAAAATCTAAACCCTAAAGTACTAATTTATCAACCCAAACCAAAATATAATCTTGTTTAATTACAAAATATAAACCCTAACCACTATTTTGTCAATCCAAACCAAAATATAATTTCGTTTAATTATAAAAGCTAAACCCTAACCACTATTTTATCAACCCAAACCGAAATATAATTTTGTTTATTTAGAAAATATAAATCCTAACCACTATTTATAAACCCAAACCAAAAAATAAATTCATCTATTTATAAAATCTAAACCCCAACCATTATTTTATAAACCCAAACCAAATAAAATTTCCTAAATAAAAATCCTACAGAATTTGTTTCTTTAATTTATTTTATTTTATGATTTTAATTTTGATTTATTTTTTAAATAGAAAATGACATGGCACATTATTATATTTTGATTGGTTAATTAAGAGGGGTGAATGAGATAGGTTCACCCCTGGGGGTGAACCCAAGAATTTTTCAAAAGAATATTCATCGTCATTCGTCAAGGAGAGAGAGAGATGATAGCACACGGCGGCTTCTTCTCCTTATAAATACAAGTAGCTCAGTGCGCTTCTCAAATGGCCGTCACTTTGGTTACGTCCTTTGCTTCCTCTTCTTCTCGCCTCCATTTCCGCTCCTTCTCCTCTTCTCCGTCGTCTCTCTCCTCGTGTTTCGTCCGGTTCCAGCTGCCGTCTCGCCTTAGACTCGCTTTTGCCGTCACGCCTCTCTACTGTTCTTCTAGAGCCATGGCTCATACAATCCCGCAAGCTACTCTCGGCCTCACTCATGCTAACTCCGTCGATCATCCTAAGGTTTGTTCCTTATCACTTATGGCATCATTAGATTTTGCTATTATGTGTTCAAAACTCGATTCTGGTGACTGCTTTGTAAATTTTTGTTGTTGTTTCAATTGTTTACTCGTCGCGTTACTATTTCCGATTGAGAAAATCCACTGGTTTGTTTGATCAGATATTGTAATCGATTGTGGTCAAGTATAGTCAGAGATTTGTAATCGTTTTCGCTTATGGTCAAGCAGAATAGTCAGAGATTAGCTTCCGTGTTTGAATTTTTGTGGTTTTAATTCGTTGATTTTTCTGTATCAGATCTCATTTTCCGGCAAGGAGATCGACGTGACTGAATGGAAAGGTGATATACTCGCGGTTGGAGTGACGGAGAAAGATATGACTAAGGATGCCAACTCCAAGTTCGAAAACCCCATACTGAAGAAGCTTGATGCTCACTTGGGTGGACTTCTCGCTGATGTCTCGTCTGAGGAAGATTTCTCCGGGAAACCTGGCCAGTCAACAGTACTTAGGCTTCCCGGTCTCGGGTCGAAGCGGGTCGGTTTGATTGGTCTTGGAAAATCTGCTTCATCTCCGTCGGCTTTTCAGAGTCTCGGCGAGGCTGTTGCTGCAGCTGCTAAAGCTTCTCAAGCTAGCAGTGCTGCAGTTGTTCTCGCCTCCTCTGAGAGTGTGTCTAATGAATCCAAGCTCAGTTCTGCTTCAGCTATAGCTTCAGGTGTTTGTTTTTTTCTTATAACTTGAGGAGGGGTTTATTCATTACCGTTTTGGAACTGATCTTTGTGTGGAATCCTTGTTTACTTTTGACAGGCACCGTGCTCGGTTTGTTTGAAGACAGCAGATATAAGTCTGAGTCAAAGAAACCATCTCTCAAATCTGTGGATATCATTGGCTTTGGCACTGGACCTGAACTTGAGAAGAAGCTTAAGTATGCTGAAGATGTTTCTTATGGCGTAATTTTCGGGAAGGAACTCGTCAATTCTCCAGCCAATGTTCTCACTCCTGGTATGGCTTGTTTCTTGAGTACCAGTCTTTAGATTATTCTTATAATATGAAGATCATGTACATTAAGTTGACTACGAACATTTGTCTTTAATCTGCTGCCACGTTGTATCTTACAGCTGTACTAGCTGAGGAGGCCTCAAAGCTGGCTTCCATGTACAGTGATGTCATGACTGCAAACATCTTGAACGAGGAGCAATGCAAAGAGTTGAAGATGGGTTCATATCTCGCTGTTGCTGCTGCGTCAGCTAATCCACCTCATTTCATCCACCTTGTTTACAAACCTTCTAGTGGCCCTGTCAAGACCAAACTTGCTCTTGTTGGAAAAGGATTGACATTTGACAGGTAATCTCCAGAGCAGTTATCTTCTGTTTCTCCGTATGATTCTCTTTTTATTTAATTCTTATTGGCTATTGACCATATGGTTATTGTTCACAGCGGTGGCTACAACATTAAGACCGGGCCTGGCTGCTTAATTGAGCTCATGAAATTCGATATGGGAGGTTCCGCCGCTGTTCTTGGCGCTGCAAAAGCCATTGGTCAAATTAAGCCTCCTGGTGTTGAGGTAAGTTGATCAGAAGAAGCTTGAGTTTCCGAGTTAAGTGAATGTGCCTAAAACTGTTTCTTTGTACAATTAGGTGCACTTCATTGTTGCAGCCTGTGAGAATATGATAAGTGGTACCGGAATGAGACCTGGAGATATCCTCACAGCCTCAAACGGAAAGACAATTGAGGTATCATAACACTCTACCCTAATTGCGTTCAGCTTCAAAAGGTCCGAGCTTTCCATAGTCTTCTCTTATGCCAAACTAATTGTTGGCGGTTTTGTACAGGTCAACAACACAGATGCCGAAGGTCGACTGACACTTGCAGATGCTCTAGTTTATGCTTGCAACCAAGGTGTTGATAAGGTATTGTTTGAAAGATTCTTCCACTAATCAATACATAGAAGCAAGAGGAGGATAATTCAAACGTTCTTTCTGTTATTTTTTCCCTCAACTTGTGTAGTATATACTTGCAGGTTGTTGACCTTGCAACGTTGACTGGGGCTTGTATCATTGCTCTTGGAAACTCAATGGCAGGTACATAGGGTGGTGTTCAAAGTAAATAGCATAACATTGGCTCATGATGATTGAATATTGGTCTGGATTTTTTTGTTTTGGGCAGGCATATATACACCTAGTGATGAGCTTGCAAAAGAGGTGATTGCTGCATCAGAGAGGAGTGGGGAGAAGCTATGGAGGATGCCGATGGAAGAGAGTTACTGGGAGATGATGAAATCAGGTGTTGCAGATATGGTTAACACGGGAGGCCGTGCTGGTGGATCGATCACCGCGGCTCTCTTCCTAAAACAGGTGAGCATATGATAAGAGTAGAAACAAAAGAACACCCTTTCAAAGACTTACATTATTGTTCTCTAATGGATTCGGTAAATGGTTGCAGTTTGTGAGCGATAAGGTTGAGTGGATGCACATAGATATGGCTGGACCTGTGTGGAACGAGAAGAAGAAAACTGCGACTGGGTTTGGAGTTGCTACGCTAGTTGAGTGGGTACAGAACAATTCTTCTTCTTAAGATGAAACCTCGAAGTGATTTTCTCGTTTTACAGTAATGGATATTCTTGTTTCCATTCTCGTCCCTTACAAAAGGAAATAAAATACGGTGTTTAAGTTTTAACATATCAGAGGTTTAATAAAGGGTTTTTAGTTTACTTACTTCGCTTAATGTGAAATGTGACTCCCGAATGTAGATGACCTGTGGCTGTGACTGTGATGACATCAATCAGATAATTAGTTCACGTTGAAAAAGTTATAAAAAATGGGTGAGAAATCTTAATAGTACCAATGTTTACATCAGAGTAATATAATATATAATCTACTAATTTCTATAGCCTTTTTGTATTGAATTCGTAGAATTAAGTTAAGATATATAAATATACAGTATGTAGCTTTAGAATTTAGATTAGATTTAACACTAACTTTTGCTTTGAGATTGTTGGTTTTTAGTTACTAGCGTCATTTTAATTGAATAATTAATTAAATAATTAAGCTAATTGTTTCAGCTTCTTGTTGTTCATCACAAATTCACAATAGGAACAAAACAAAAACATTCTTTCAAATAGGTTAAGCTCAAATCAACAAGGCTTTTAGAAAAACAGAGCTCATTTATCACAACAATCAACATTGTTTGAGGCTTAAGCAGGACAGGGTATGCGTTCTAGTTTTCCTCTTGAGCAGGAGCAGAAACAGGAGGTGTAGGTTCAAGCATTCTTACAGAACGGGGAAGCATAAACTCAGCAAACACAGGGTAGTGAGACGAAGGATACAAGTCGTCAATCTTATCATTTACCACCTCGCACATTACAGGAACTATTGATCTACCTCTGTAAAGTATCCAATCCGTATGTAGATCTTGTGTTTGTCGGTCCCAGCAGAGACATAAAGCTCTAAATATTAGCTTCAAGAACTCGACCGTTCCTTGCTTGTCACCTGAACAAAGGCCAGAGTTGTTATGATACTGAAGTGTTGGAGATAACTGATTCTAATGGCTCATGAGAGGGTGAAATAGTTCATACCTTTGAATTCATGATATGTTCTTATGAGAGCAGTGTTTTTTCTTACTCGTGCACTTGGCCATGCGTCTCTCATGTCCCCTACCACACCGTGCTCTCTGCAAGTTGAATGAATGCCCAAAGCCCATTTATCAGCAGTTAAATAAGGATATATGCTTTGATTTGAAACTAGTTGATCAGTGTGTAGAATAGTTTAGTCATTATTGCATTGCATAGGAGCCATGAAAGAATATGAGATTAGTACAAGGCAGAAAGTTGTCAAAAGTGACATTGAGGTACCTAGATCTGCCCAACAGAAATCTCCCGGTGGTTGATTCTTTCTGTGTGTTGAATCCTCCACAGTACACAACTGGCAAAGTGGGAGGTAATGATGCTATGTGTTGCCATGTGAGTAAAGCACTTCGCCTACGGGCACGAGGGCTGATTTCATCCAAGTTTGTGTTGACAATCTGAAACGAAAAACCAGGCGGCTCTGCTCCTTTCAGTTGAAATGTGTAGGCAGCTTGTCAAAGAAACCAACATACTGATATATATGACAAAAACATCAAACCAATACACTAATCTAATTACACAGTTTAGCTAAAATCAACCCGACTAGTAATCAGGATATGGCCCATGTCGCTATACAAGGAACTGCAGAACCCCATGCCGAGCTTCCAGGGACCGAGGGAGACTCTGACAACCAAAAAGTTCCACCCTCTAGCAGCTCTACCTTCAATTAGCATAAAGTACAGTATTAGGCAGAAATTTTAAAAATCAAGCAGGTGTTGATGTTTTGTTTCATCAGCCGAATTAATACTTTTTCCTTGTTGTAGAAGATGGTGCAGTGTTCATCATTAGCATCCTGAGGCCCTTTTCTTGAAATTCCAAATTGATCATACGCTGCAAGCAAGGAAAACTACCATCTCATGATTTCAAGGAAACAATGCAAACTGAAGTATTATTAAGGCGTGTAAAAAGTAGAAGCTAGCTCCGTATTTTGCAGTAACAAAAACCAGATAACTAAAGCACCATCATTTCAAAGAAAGCATGTGAACATGTGAGAATATCATATGCATACCATTACGATATAACAGACTAGAATCTGGTTGATGTAGCATAAAAAGGTAACTCGAACTAAATGCAAAGAAGGATACAGATTGACTATCAGATTTTACCTATACCAATATATACTAAAAATAGAATTGAATCTAGATCTTAACAGTATCACATTGTAAATTGAGAACAAGAAAAGTAGTACTCTATGATCGATATGCAGATTCACACTGGCCTATGAACTTTAAGAAGCAGCGGATATAAACAGAGTTCAGTTACACCTAACACTCAATAGTATATACCTGGCAAGCCCTGCTGAAGATGATCCAGCTGCGACTGCACACCTAAACCAGGAAACAGAAGATAAAAAAAAAAGATAATCACATCTCTGTTCAATACTCCAAAAGGCAAAAGTACAAGAACCCGTTTCAAGCTTTCTCATCAGCAGATCAAAACATACCCAGATCACCAATAAGAAGAAACAGTCAAGATCTAACAAGCATTGATCCATCTGACTGAGGGAAAAGAAAAGAACCTTGTTGAGTGCAGAGAACGATGGGGGAGTAACTGGTGATGACACTGAGACACAAATCCTTCCTTTTGTGCCATGAATTAGGGCTTTCTTCAGGTTCATCATCGTGAAGATTGAATGTCATCACACTCAAAGACACACTCATTTTCTTCCTGGTGTGTTTGGTCTTTTTTTTTTTTTTTTTTTTTTTTGAGGGTAGACGAATGAAAACAAAGGTCTCTCACATTAGCAGCAGCTCATCGTCGTCGTGACCTACATGATATTCAATAACTATTAGTCAAAAAAAATTGTGAAAACAGCTCAGGAATCGAAGAAATCAATCAACACAATATATATATTTTAATATTATTAGAATTTGGACTCCACCACGAATCAAAATGAAAATACTAACCTTCTCTTTTCAGCCTCTTATCAACAGCGAAGACTGTGGAGAAATTTAAAGTCTTGTACAGTTGACGACTTTCGCCGGAAAATTTGGGAAAGTCATAACCTTTTGATTTTAATAATTAGCAAAATCTTGTTATAATGCCATTTTCCTGACAAGAAATGTACACCTTTATCCAATCAGCTTCCTCATCAACATGTAAATCAGCATCATCAGGGAAAAAAATTCGGAAATCGGAGAAGAAGAAGAAGAGTAACTCATTCGTCGGATGAGAAGGACGGACCGGTGAAGAAGTCAGGGTAGAACATTCGTCGAGCTTTTTGGTCTCTCTGTAAATTTTAAGATTTTGATAAAATTAAAATCAGTTTCAGACAAGCTTCGAACCCGAGACACAGAACACATTAACACACTACAGGCATGTGATGTTGTGAGCTTCGAACCTGTTGTTGTACCAAACCGTACAAAATTGGAATTATAAAAAAAGGTTAATTTTGAATAACCAGCCTTTTTCAGACCAAACTGGAGTGTAAAATTATTACAAGTAGTTTGTTAAAAACCGAATTAAACCAAAACCGAACCGAGGTTTTTTTTTAGCGTATAGGACGCGACGACGCGTTTGACGAGAGAGGAGACGAAGATCGAAACACGTACGGCGCTAAGCTCCGCCCTCCTCCCAAAAACTATCCGACAAAGACAGAAGCCGAAACGAAACCTAACCCTAATTTCTTTTCTCAAATCCCTAAAGGTCTGTGTCTCCTCTCTCCCTCTCTCTATCTCTCTTACTTAGCTCCTCCAAATTCGGATGATTCCCCATTTCGAATTTGCAGAGAAGAACGAATCCTCTCTTTCTTCCTCGTCTCTACCCCTTTCATGTCTTCTCAACTCCACGACTCTCATCCAGGGTTGTTGGTGCCTCAAACCCTAGATTTTGATTTCTCTTTTGAATTTTCTCATACTTCTTTCGTTTCGGATCTCTCTCTGAATCAGATTGCGTCTTTTGGGCTCTTGTTGTTGTGCTGCTCTTCGATTTCTTCTCCGCTGCGTTGTATGTGCCAAATATGAGTGAAAAGAAGGTAATTTCCCACTTGAGTTCATTCACTTATGATGATTCCCGTAGGCTTTAGTTCTCATGGTCTAGAACGATGCAGTGTTGCATTTGGAGCTCACTCACCAAATTGAAAAGAAAAGATTCGTATTAGGTGACTTTGTTTCATGGAGATAATGTTTTTGTAGTTTATATAGTGTTTGATCTTGTTTCAATCACGAGCTGTGAACTTTTCAACGGGTAAACTTACAGCTTCGTTTTGATCATTTTCTACTTGATATCATAGTTGTTCTCTGAGGTCAATGTATATCCGAGATTCTTAATTGTTCTGCAAAGTACTTTAACTGACATTTGCTTCTCTTCTTTTGTTAGGTATTTGTGTTTGGATCCTTTACAGAACATGAAACCCGGTCATTCCTTGAGCAGAAACCCGTTAAGAATCCTCAGAATCATAAAGACAAGTCTGTGGGAAGTATACAATTCGGCTCCTTGAATCTTGTTGCCGAAAATTCTTCAGCAAATACTAATGGCGAGTTGAAGAAAGGTCAAGCTGTTGGGACTGTTAAATCTCGTCCAACCAGCTCTCAAAAGAGACTAGATGCTTCCATACCTGTCAGCTCTGATAAGATTGATGATAATGATGCAACGCTCCCAAGAAAATACTCCCCAAGAGTTCCAGAGCATGTTGGAGAAAATGGAATCATGAAAGAGGTCTCTGAAAGAAAATCTCTCAACAATGGTGTGGTGGTGAAAACAGATCCCATTGGTGTGGATAAGTTGTGCATGTCAGATGGTGAAACTGATTCTTTGTATAAAGCTTCAAGCTCAAAATTCCAAGCTCTGGATAGTGAAAATTTCTCAAGTGATTCTTCATCTGGCAGCATACCAAGTAAGAAACACCAGATGGTTCCTACTGAATCTGTTCCACCTGTCAAAGACTTTACACCTAGAGGGTTAATAAATGCTGGGAATCTGTGCTTCCTCAATGCAACATTGCAAGCATTGCTTTCATGTTCTCCTTTTGTGCAGCTCCTCCAAGGAATACAACTCCAAAATGTTCCAAAGGTTTGTAACCTGCTTTGTTCTTTTTATGATTTGAATTCTATTTCGTATAATTCTTTTCTAATCATGGTTATTTTCTGCATCTTAGGCGGAGTCTCCCACCTTAGCTGCATTTTCCGAGTTCATCTCTGAATTAGATGTGCCAAGCAGTTCCAGCATCAGAAATAATGTTACCGTTGTTGAGGCTGGTAGATCTTTTACTCCTGCCATGTTCGAGGGAGTCCTTAGAAAGTTTACCCCAGATGTACTCAACAACATGTCTGGCAGGCCAAGGTTAGTGACTCCCTTACACAGTCTAAAATATTGATGTTTCCTCTGTTTTAGTTAGTTAATCTATCTGCCCCCATTTCTAACTTTGTGTGCATGTATTGGCAGGCAAGAAGATGCTCAGGAGTTTTTGAGTTTTATAATGGACCAAATGCATGATGAATTGTTGAAACTCAGGGAACAGTCCCCCAAAATTACTGCTCTTAAGTCATCGGTTGTTTCTTTACCCAATGAAGACGATGAATGGGAAACAGTTGGACCCAAAAACAAATCAGCTGTGACAAGAACACAAAGCTTTGTTCCATCTGAGCTCAGTGATATATTTGGCGGACAGCTAAAAAGCGTAGTGAAGGCTCAAGGTATTTGCATTTTTTGTAGTCATTTTAAATTCTCTTTTAGAAGTCACTATAGAATTTCTGGTTTATCAGACAGTCATATGTTTTATTGTACAGGGAGCAAAGCTTCTGCTACTGTGCAGCCATATCTCTTACTTCACCTTGATATTCACCCGGAAGGCGTGCTTAGAATAGAAGATGCATTGCTGTTGTTTTCTGCCCAAGAAGATCTTGAAGGATATAAAGCCTCGGTTACTGGGAAGGTAAACGCTGTGGGATGTTAGGACCATGTGATATTCACTTATGACAATTCTGATACCAGACGATTTCTTATAGATTTTTAATAACAACCAGCCTCTTTGCTTGTTTGAGTTCTCTCATTACAGGCTGGTGTAGTGAGTGCTAGTAAGTCGATCAAGATACAGAAACTCTCAAAGATAATGATACTACACCTAATGCGTTTTAGCTACGGAAGCCAAGGGAGTACTAAGCTACATAAACGCGTTAAGTTTCCCCTCGAACTCAACTTAAGCCGCAGCCTTCTAGTTTCTCCATCCAATGAGGTATAAAGCCGTAACAGAACTGTCTATGTTTTACATTTCTCTAACTCTCTATGTGATATCCTCTGTTGTGAACTACTCAAATTTCTTTCTGTAGAGTTTAAAATATGAACTTGTGGCAACCATTACCCACCATGGAGGGGATCCTTCAAAAGGGCACTACACCACAGATGCTAGACGAAAGAACGGTCAGTGGCTAAGGTTTGACGATGCCTCGGTGACCCCCATAGGGACGAAACAGGTGTTGCACGACCAAGCTTATGTCCTCTTCTACAAGCAAGTGTAAGAGAATCAGAGACAGCAAATTTCTATGGTCGGAGAAAGGGGAGAAAATTTACTCTCGGCTTAGTCTCAGGTCTATTAAGTTTCAGTCACGATGCTATATACTCTGGTTGTCATATTAGAACTCTGAAAGAAGGAATATCGATAGGTAAATAGTTTTAGAGTACCTTGGTTTACACTGAAAGTTTTGTTATGATTCCTTGAGATGGGTGTTTTTTTAAATCTGATTTTATTGTTACTTCATAGACTTATTATTCGAAAATCCATGACTTATGCATGTTACCGACAAAAACGTCTTTAGTTGACATGAAAACATTATTTTATTGCTTTCTGCTGCAAAAAATTGAACCTGATGCTCACTAAGTAAATTAATCAAGAAAGAAAATAGACTTTCCATATGAAAAACAAATTCACACAAAGAGTCAATGTCATACAGTTCTTTCGACTAGATAAAAAAGGGTTTGAAGAAAAATCACATTCTTAGATTATTGACTGGCCATCTCTCTGACATTACGTATTGTACCACAATTATATGCATTGAAAAGGGCCAACACCGAGCAAAAGCCATCAACTAACCTGTTAGCCCTAGTTCTCTCAGGATCAACTAACCTGTATTTGTAACTTAGGCATTAATAAACACAACACTAAGGATATTAGATCAAATGCTTGATAAACACCGTACGACTCTGTGATCTTGAAGGTCTTGCTAAATCTTTTTCTTCTATTTCCAACAGGGGATATAAACTTATGTATCAAAAAGATAGCAAAGTACAGAGCGAGCCAATGACAAATCTATTTCATGTATATTAGAGCAAATTTCTAATTCACGACACCACTCTCTCTTATGAGTTTCGAAGTCCTACATTCACTACATTCATAGATCTATCTTAAATCATTCCACCATTCACTCAACACACTGAAAACAAGAACAGTAGAAAATCTAGGAAACGACATTTCCCTTAAACCAAAAAGCCATAGAAAAAAGGAGAAGATAAAGCAAGCAAGAAATATACTTGATCTGCGACAAGTCTGTGAGTGTGTTAATGGAACCCTTTGTAATGCAAACTACCCTAATCCGCTAACTATAGACACAGTACCTTCTAATCTCTATCGTTGTCCTAAGGTAGAGTCTCCCTCTCGCACAGAGACTTTTTTATTTTACCAAACAAGCAATTAAGAACAACTAACTGAAAGAAATACGAGGATAGAGAATATAGAGTCACAAGATCTCATAAGACCAATACCTACTCAGGTCAAATATTCAAACTACGGACCTGAGTCTCAAAAACCTTATAGTATAGAGTTTCAGACTTGAAAAGTACACGATACAGTGGTAAGAGAAAAAGAAAAAAAAATACTCAATGGATCTTGGAACATTTAATCCTGACCTGTCCAACATTGCCGGTTAAGATTTGATTGTTGGATAGTTTCGTCATCGCCATCGAAAAATCCTTACGGAACCTGTGCTTGTCAGAAGCATATTGTCTCACCCATTTCTCTGTCTCCTCTTTGGCCATTAGCTGTGAATCCGAGAACATTACTCCCTTTTTATGCAATAGTCCTTTGTAATACCTTACCCCAAACCCATCATTCCCTCCTTCGTTGTCAAAACTCAGGTCGACGACCTTATCCACATTCGAATTCACCATGTCCTGGCTATTGGATGCATGCAAAGACCGGGTTGAACTATCAGCAGCATAAGGAGATGCAGATGAGGTCGAGGCAGCGAAGGGACATTTGGTTTTTAAATCTTGGAGGAACCGCGGATTGAGTTCTGGATCAGCCTTTCCGGTTCCTGAGAAGTTGTACAATCGCTCCTGAAAAAAATTGCAGTGGGTAATGCCTATGCTGTGTGCCCCTAGGATGAACAATCAGGAGAGAAGAGTCAATCATCCACAAAAGATATCTAAAAGAAGGGAGTACCAGTTAAGAGAGAAGAAGGAGGACTATATACCTAGTAAAGCGACTGTTTCCCTCGGCGTGAAACCTCTGGAGGCGAAGCTTGACAGGATAGTTGATAAATTGGCGGTTGGCGCAGGAAGCTCCCGTCCTGCAGCTTCCTTGAAGGCTACCATAGAATCCCGTCTCCCTGTTTTGAGGAAGTAGCTCGGACCTCCTGTCTGCAATTTCCAGACGACATAAGTGTTAGAACAGATGTTTTATTGGAAAAACTAGGGAGAGAGAGAGAGAAGAAAGACTCAGACCAGTTCAACTGATTCTCTGGCAGCTAGAACAATAATGTCTGCGCATGAAACAACTCCTGGACAGACCTCCTCTAACTCAGACTTGATAGAGTCAATCACATCAAACCCTTTCAAAGAAAGGTTTGGAGCTGCCTCTTTCTCAGAAAGGAAAGACTTGTCTGAGTCTAGAAGGACTGATGCATCACATCCCTGTAAAGTAGAGAAGTGTTGTAAGGAGACATGAGAATCTTAATTCGACCAGAGATTAAAATGCTCAACAAAAATCCCCAACAGAAAAATGTGCAAGCTCAGTTAAGTGCAAACGTTAACCAAGATGAGCAGATAAGCAAAACGAGAATTCCCCGATAACAATATGAAAAAGTTCATGAACAAGGTTAAGCAATGAGAACAAGTTCAAGAACTGGTTAATTTCAACATAAATCACCAAGGGTAAGCAATGAGAAAGATTATCATCACAACACAACAAAAATACTCCCAGATAACCATCACAATTCACAAATCAAAAATAGCCAGATGAGAAACCTTGAGTGATCAACATTCTAATTCTAAGTAGAACACTCACAGGAAAACAAGTTCAAGAAATGGAGACCCCAATTGTAACTTTTAAGTAATGAAGATTCAGAGTGCTCCACTCCAGATAATCAAAAATCCCCAATCGCCAGATAATTGTAACTTTACGTAATGAAGATTCAGAGTGTTCCACTCCAGATAATCAAAAATCCCCAATCGACAGATGAGTAAGATTAATCAATCAACATTCAAAATAGAACCCCTCCACGATAAACACAAATCCCCAATTGTAAGATGATGAAGAGTATATGTGAGTATGAATGATAAAACTAAAACAAAGAAGAGAGATGAGAAATGTGTTACCCCGATGAAGCAATCGTGGAAGACTAGGCGGACGAGAGACGGAGCTATGCTTGATTTGGCATGGTACATCCTTCTCATGGAGTTACGGACGATTTTGACGGCGCGCGGGCACGATTCTCTGTAGAAATTTTCCTGAAGAAACCGATCCGCGTCTCTGGGATTAGCCTTGAGATCTTCTTTCTTCGGAATCTTCATGGAAAAAGACACGGTAAGATTCCTCGGAGACGATTTGACGAAGCTGCGGAGGCTTCTTCCGATGCCAGAGTCGGGATAGTAAGTCGTAACGAGGATGCTAGAAAAGATGGCGAATATGGAGACGATGATGTGAATGATGTAAGTTCCATGAAAAAGCTTCATCTTCATCGAACCTCTAACTTCTCTGTGTGCTTTTGATTGTGAGAAATGAAGAAGATGGTGCGAAGCTAAAGAGGAGGGAAAGAAAGAGTGCGACGTGTAATCTCGAAAATGCCCTTTTGGCGTTTTGTTACGAGAAATGACGAACATGCCCCTTCCTCGCCGATAGTAAGTTTGTTACGCGCACATCATCCTTATCTCTTTTACGCTCTTTTTTTTACTGGGCCGATTCTTTTGGGCTTATATTTACTAAGTTAGTGGCCTGTGAGCAATCAAATTATATATTTAGATAAAATAAATAATAATAATTTGGGGAAATTAAAGCCGAGACGATGAAGTCATTACGTGACGACTGACGAGTCAAAGAGAGTCTTGAAGCGTCGTCCCATTTGATGATTTTTTTTTTTGTTAAAACCCATTTGATGAGTTGAATACGTTTAGTTATAATTTGATAAACGTAAACTAGTGAATCGTTTTAGATATTGTTCGAGTATATGTCAATTTAGTATGTTAGTGTTACATCGAATCTTCAAGTCAATTTCGTCACATGTGAATGTTTTCAAACTATTGAGTATTGACACAATGAGTCTATACGGGATTTTGGTATAGTCAAACGAGTTGGTTATTGCGACCTTGGTTCATATTTTGATTTGGAATCTTAGGTTTTTTCCAAGTGAATTTAGGAGACAAAAAAAAGACAGAAAGAAAAAAGGAAATTAATTAAATAAGGTCGGTTTGTATACGTATATATATAGAACACATGCACACCACAAACATATTACAAATCACAAAAACATTCTCTCGAGATCTTCTAACGCATATATCCGGACACTCGCAAACCTAAAGTTCACGTAACAATACGTCTAAACCCTAACCATTAATTCTCTGACTCTTATCTCTTTTTCCGAGATTCCTCATCGATGGCAAAATCTTCTACAATAATCAGCTTCATCACCCTCTTGCTCTTGGTGAGTTGCTTTGTCTTGCCTTGTGCGGCACGTGTTCGTCTTACTCTTGATCATGAGCACACGGATGATACCTTGGACGACGTAGACAAGGAAAAACAAGACCTAATCTCGAGCTATGATGATGAAGATGAAGCATCACGCCTTCCACCCTTCTTCGACACAGTTGAAGAAGATGTCATACGCAATGAATCTGAGCCCATCTCGTTTACCGAACTGATCGAGAGAGCCGAATTTTCTGCCATGATGAGGCGATATCGATCTTCAGACCCTTGATGAAGCCAATACCAATGATCTTAAAAATATGCCTCTCTCTCTCTCTCTTCTCTTTAAAAATTTCTTTTTCTTTTTTTCTTCGATTTCATTATAACTTGTAATATTTCTTTTAGCAAATTTAAATGTTATCCCAAGAGGAATAAATATATATTTGATAAATATTGTCTATTAGTTTTGTTTAAGTTAACATAAAAACGAATACATACGACTGATTATAACCGAAACTTCTCCCTAAATATATCTGATCCTCATATATGCGATTGAAGCACATGTACATTCATGCATGGAGCCTAATGAAATCTGAATGTATACCTCAACACATGGTTTATGTTGGATAAGCATCAACATTCCTTGAAGCCTTAGACCAAGTTGAGTTAAGTTTAAGATAAGGCTTAAGAATAATTAGGAGTTATCTAATTCAAATAGAAATAGGATTAGCAAAGTTGTGCTAACACTATAAATTTTTGTGACAATTATATGTGAGAACACTGAGAGCATTGTCTTTAATTTTGAGTTATTTTCTAAACATATTTAAGAGAGTTATTCTTAATAAAAAAAAATTACTTGTATTCTAAGAAACTATAGTTTAGTGGTCCACTTATCCATCTAAACAACATTGAATCTTGACGACACCATAGATAGAAGACAGTTTTCGTCTTTTGACTCGGTAACTTGGAATATATATATTTATTTCATCAGTAGAGATAACAAGAGTAGATTTTAGTGAGACAACAAGAGTATACTTTAATGGGGAAATAGTACGTACAGCTCCAAGCCAAAACAATTCATTCCAGAACCCATTAATAGCTCCCAAGTTCTGGTCCCAAATCTCATGGCACAACGTAACCTGTCACATGAGATCAATAGAGTGGTGATGTTTTAAACGCGGTTTTTAATTTGTTCTTTCAGTTTCTTGTCAAATCTCGACTCTACCGATATTTCTAAGTTCTTGTACTACATTTCCGCAACATATATAGCTCTCTAACGATACATACCTTCAGTTTTTTTTTTTGCAAGATTAAAACCGAAAAAATAGTGAAACTTCTTTGTTAATTAGACTTACTTACTTCCACACTTGGTACCATGAGCTAGAGGCTTCCCACAAAAGGCCGTGACATGAACAACCTTATCCATGTCTATCATTTTCTGCACTGAAGCTGTGACACGGCCACACGCGCAAGGGATGTCTGATTTCTTAACGACCATGCAGCAGGCCGCGGACGGGTTTACCTTTGGGCCTGGACGCTGCACGTAGACCGCGCATTCTTTCATCAGACCTTCGATGTCTCCTTGGCAAGTTCCTTGCCCTGGAACTAGTAGTGTTCCCGAGATTACAAGGATCAATGTCAGACCAACCAAAACACGAGAATCCATCGCCATTTGATTTCGGTTTGGATCTATATATAGTGAGACGTGACTGTGACTTTCGAGTTTTTGGTAAAAGAGAAGTTGTTTAGGGTGGTCTTATATAGTGGCTTAGCTTAGAGGGTTCAAGTGTTTCTTGTGCTGCATGTGATGTTATCTTTTTGTGTGTTGAGACTGTAGAGTAATTAAGTTTATCGTTTCCAATATATTGGTCTCATGTGACAAAAGACTTGAAATTTTCTGATGAGCTTCCTCGTAACTACAACCAACATGGCAGCCAATGCATGCCAGGACACACATATGATTGATGGGTAAATGACAAAAATACTATTAAAACGCAAAAACCTAAAATTGACAATTAATTGTGACAACTTAAAAGTACTACATTTTAACTATCAAAGTGTAAATTTTCTTTTAAAAACTTGATTGAACAAAGCGAATGATGTTTCAAACTAAAAGCCTCTGAATCAGATGGAGGCTCTTTCTCTTGAGTCTTGACTCGTGACGTCGTGATGTCATTGAATTGGTAACCTTTAGCCAAATCCCCAATTTTTGAAAATTCTCAACGAAACGCCTAAAAGGTTTTGTTTTGTCGAACCAAAGATCAAACCTTTGCGTGAAATTTTCCCTCTTTTGCCAGCGACGAATATATCCAGTTAGCAAGGAATTCGACGATCTTTTGATAGATTCAAACTCTTTAGAGTGGGTAGTGATGGATGACGAGAGACGGACACGGTGTCCTGAGAATCGAGGTTTAGCGGCTTATGTGTTGCAGAAGAAGCAAGAACACGCTGATAAGCCCAAAGGTTTGTCGGAAAATCTGGAAAGGACATTTGTTAAGGCGTATAGAAATGTCTGCGACGCCAAGGATCCCATTAACACACTCAAACAATTGTCGCAGATCAAGTATGTTTCTTGCTTTCTGTTTCTTCTCTTATGGAATTTGGGTTAATGGGTCATTCGTTTCTTGTTTGAATGTTCAATTTTTATGGAAAAGATGTGACCTTTTTGTGTGTTCTGGTTTGATATTCTCCGGTTTTTTCACTATTAAGTGAATGGAAGAATGAATTTAGCGTCTAAGAAAGTAATAAGATACTCCTCGGCACATCATTTGTATATGTGTATGTATCTTTGTTAACTTCTGTTCACTTAGATTTTTTATTGAGGCTGTAGCTAAGGGTTTAGGGTTTGTTTAATCTGAAATTGAAGTCGTGTAGATAAAATCAGAAGACTGTTTGTTTCTTATCGTTGTGAAATCAGAGATTTGATAGTGAGTGGTTTCTTCGTTTCAAGGGAAAGTTTTTGTTTATATCCATAGTTTTCTTAAGCCTTTTTTAATGCAAAGTACATCTGACTATTGAGTGGTTTTAGTTTTTGGGTGGCTTTGCTTCTATCCAACCAAGTGTCTGTTTCTTGATTTTTGCTGAATTTTTTGCATAGGGGCTTTGGCAAGTGGATGATTAAGCTCATGAAAGGATATTTTGATACTGGTGCTGACAGTTCTGAGCAAGAAGATTTACCTAATAATCGTGCTGGTAAGGGTGTTGCGCTGTTGGATGTATCTATATCACATTGTTCACATATATTATCAATGTAATGTCTTTCTGTATGGTGCTTTTTAATCCGTCCAGGGATAAAGGCCAATGGCAAAAAACGCTACATTCCACAAAGAAATTCTGTAGCGTATGCATTACTAATAACGTTGCACAGGTTAGTTACATGGTTATGTTACTCACAAAAGACGCTTACTTCCCCCTCTGTAAACCCTTCTTTAGGACCGTTCTGTTTTTCATTTCACCAGAAAAACTACAAATGGGAAAGAATTCATGCGTAAACAAGAGCTTATTGATGCTGCTGACGCGAGTGGTCTCTCACACGCTCCTGTTGGGTACGAATCAATCATGTTCCCAGTCTCTAATCTATTGGTGTTGTACCCAACCTCTGGTCTGATGTATGTCTTATTCTTCCATTCTTGTTATTAGGCCAGAGAAAGGTAAAGGGAAAGCAGGACTTGGACATTCTAAGAGGGAGTGGTATAGTGGATGGAACTGCATGACCACACTTATACAGAAGGGATTAGTGGTCAAATCTAGCAACCCAGCCAAGTAAAAACTCATATCTGAAATTCTGCCTTATGTTTTTTTTTTTTTTTTTGTAGAGAAGACCTTGAGACTTTATTGTTTCTTTTGTTAGGTACATGCTGACAGTTGAAGGACGGGAAGTTGCAAATGAATGTATCGTGCGATCTGGATTACCTAATTCATTTGACATCTTATCTGATGATGAAATGGATCCTACACCCCAAGCAAAGAGAACACCGAATCAAAATCCCACCTGTTCTTTTACCATGAGAGAAGAACAGCCATATGCTGATCCGAAACCTATGGCACAATCAGCCATTCCAAGCGATATTTTTGAAAAGGTACTCTATCGTAATGTTAATTCAACCTTCTTCTTGTACAGTGTTGATTGGTTGCGAGGTGACATATTTTGCTTCAATTTCTTAGTTTCATGTTTACATGTTTTGGTTTTCGTCAACAGTTTATACCGTTTGGTTATTCTAAGGAACAAGTCGTTGCTGCATTCAGAGAGGTTTCAGATGGAACTGGGGACAATGATCCATCAACTCTCTGGCTCTCAGTAATGTGCCATCTTCGTCAAGCAGAGGTTTATAGTTCTTTTTCGGACTCTCAAAATAGAAGAAAACTTTCAGCAGGACCTTCTAGAGCACAAACTCGTACGGTCTTAATCAAGAATGTCATATAATATGCTTAGTGCTCAGTGATGTGTTTGTGAAGGGTTTATGTTTCATCTTATGAAGTCTTAGCTACAAATACAGGTCAAGTTGATCTTGAGGGATCTCTTACTAAGAAGTTCCGCTCTTGCAATGATGGATCCACCTTAAATCGATGTTCATCCAGTTCAAGCCATGCCGTGAAAGCCTGCTCATCTTCTGTAAGTAACCATTTGAGTTCAGTAGTCAGTAGATATTTAAAATCAGCAGTAACTTGATTGCTAATCAGCTTTAATTGTTTTTTTAATTATGTCCTGGTTACAAAAGTTGGCATCAGACAGAACCAAAGGGATAACAAATTTCCCACGCCTCCCTCCTCTTAAATTTGGAGAAACATTTGAGGAAGCATATGATGTGATGTTGATACTGGATGATCGAGAAAAGTTTGCCACTAAGGGGTTTGTGGAACATTAATCTTACTCCACTCTTTTCTCTTAGTTCTGGTTTCTAATGGTTTGGTTATGAAATTGTCATAACAGCCTTTCTACATTATTGATGACAACACTAACCAATACATTTCACAGATCACGGTCCAGGAATATAATTGATAACATATGCTCTGAATTCAATATCAAGATTGAGGTCAGCATTTGATTTCTTGAATAGATGTCAACAGATTTGGAAGTACACAAATTAACTGGAAAAGTGGTGTAGGTTAGACGGTTACCAGTTGGGGATTGTATCTGGATTGCTCGGCATAAGTGCCTTGAGGATGAATATGTTCTGGATTTTATTGCCGAGAGGAAGAATGTTGATGATATGCGCTCATCAATTAGAGATAATCGCTACAGGGACCAAAAACTTAGACTTCAGGTGTGTGTATTCTCTCAACTCCTAAGTTTCTGACTTGCTCTATCTTTCGTTGATGGTTGTTTCACATTTTCTACTCTATTTGCAATTGTAAATAGAGATCGGGGTTAAAGAAGCTGATATACATTCTTGAAGGAGATCCGAACCATTCTGATGCGGCAGAAAGCATTAAAACGGCGTAAGGAACTTGATGTTTCATATAATTTTAGTTGGCTGTGCATTTTTCTTTGGGATATGGAACCAAACTTATCTTCATCTATGTATATGCTTCTAGTTGTTTCACGACAGAGATTCTGGAGGGATTTGATGTGCTGAGGACAAACGGGCTGGGTGAGACGCTAAGAAAATACGGTTACCTCACTAAATCAATATATCAATACTACAAGTTACGGGTGAATGATAACGACCAGGGCAAAGTTGCGGCCTCTTGTCCTTCTTTTGATAGTTTTGTCAAAAGGTGTCAAGACCTTGACAAAATGACAATCAGCGATGTATTTGCCATTCAGCTTATGCAGGTACTGAGTCTGGCTATGCCTTTTTCGGTTCTTATATGTGAATGGTTCTGCGAATCCATTTCGATTGATAAGTATTTGGTGCAGATCCCGCAGGTAACGGAGGAAATTGCCATGGCTGTTCTTGATATGTACCCAACGCTTTTATCTCTTGCTTCTGCATATTCTCATCTAGTAAGACTTATTGGCTTTGTCTAAGATCTTGAAATCTTGTAATTCTTCAAGAAATTGATGACTTGTAGCCTGACTTGAACTAAGACAATTCTGCACTGTTTTGAAGGAAGGGGATGTCTGTGCGCAAGAAGAGATGTTGAGAAATCAAAGCAACAATGTAATATGTGCGTCAGCTAGTAAGATTATATGCAAGTTAGTCTGGGGTGAATGACTTCTATTCTAGAGAGAGAGAGAGAGAGAGAGAGAGAGAGAGAGAGAGGAGTACGAACAATAT